AGAAAAAAATATGCGTAAAAAATTTAAAAGAGGAATATTATTTGATACTCCTGAAAAAATATATTCTAGAAAGAAATTATTAGATTTAATATGAAAAATAATACAAAATGTATTTAAATAATAAAAATGAAAGTATTAGTATTCACCTTTGATAACACAAATTTATACAATCGCTATTATAATGATGGTGAAAATAATTTTGTGAATGATATGATTGAATATGTTAATGTAAAAAACGAAGAAGAAAAAGCTGAAGATATAGCAAACAGAAATGATGAAGATTACTATAATGAAATTTTCACTTTAATGAAAGATAAAATTAAAATCAAAAGTTTTACCAGAAATTTAGATGAATTTTCATTCACTAATTATGATCTGATTTTATCTGTATTAAGCTTAATAAATGTTCAAAAATTTGATGTGGAAGATACAATAGACAGCTATATAGAGACTGGTGTTAAATATATTGAATAATATGTTTAATATAAATGACATATGATATGTCAATTTATATATTTAATACACATATTTAAAATGATTATTATTTTTAAACATAAAAATACTGAATTAAATGATAATTATGATGAAACATATTTTGAAATAATAGAATATGAAAATGAAATAGATATAAAAATATATTTGGTAGAAAATGCTCAAGATTTTTATATGATATGGACTAAAAATAAGACTATGAGATTACAATTGGCAGAATTTAACTTTAATAAGCACACAATCATGCAAGAAAAAGATACTCAAAGCTATTTAATCTCATTGTCAACTAAAGCAGGCGACATTGTAGATAGAATCTTACACCATATGAATAATTACAAACACAATAAATGCGAGATATAATAAAAGTGTATACTTACGGTGATAAATTAAAAAATAATTATGAAAAAACAAAAATTATAAAAATTAATGATTATATTGACATGGTAAACGATTTAACTGAAAATGTAGAAGGTTATAACTATTGTTATATATTATTAAAAAATAATGAAATATATCTCAAACAATATGGCTCAAAGTACGAATTGAAAATACTTGAAAATGAAATAAATTATATAAACGAAGGTTATATATTAAACACTAATCTAAAACCTTTTATTTTAAAGGTGAACAAAAATTTAGAATATGCTAATGATATTTATAAAGAAGATGAAAATGCTATATATGGAGAAATTGTAGATATAAAATATATATACTTATGCATGAATACTTCTAAAAATTCTTTTAAAGATTATGTATATTTTGAAGAAAATAATAAATATAGAATATATGTTAGAGAGAAAAATTGGGTTAAAAAATTTAAAAAAGGAAAATTGTTTGATACTCCTGAAAAAATATATT